CGAAGAGGCTTTGATCCTGCCAAGTCCCCTCCCTTCCCCCCACCAACACTGCTAGTTCTCTCAATCCCAAACCCCCTGGACTCCACCTCCAAGATCCCACTAGCCCACCAAGCCCCCCCTCCCCACAAGATCCTGATCCCCTCCCTCCCCCACTCTGCCCACTCCTCCCCTTACCCTGACTTACCTTAGATTGTGCTCCTAGCACCTATCTAATCACTGAGTTAGATTGGGTGGCCATTTTTAAACTCTATCTAAGCTCACAAGCTTCAGTGTAACATCTGTGTGCACCCTTACTCTATTTTCAATGGTATGATTTTCATAATAGAAACCTACTCAGACATGTCCAGGCAATTTTAGGTTCATCACAATGCAATGTATTGCTGTGTTACAAGGGTAGAAAACTAGCCTTTTGTTCTCTATTTGAACAGTTACAAGGCAACTTAAATTATTGCTATCCATTTCCTACTCAAGTTTCACAAACAAAAACCTCCAACATCATTATTAAATTTCTCTCTTCCCTCATTTCTCACTTACATAAAGTCCTAAACCTCAGGCTTATCTTTGACATTTACTACCAGTTGCTGAGGTTTCCAGTGCTTTAAAGGAACACATTTATTAAATTGGACAGATGCATGGCATCTAAGTATGGTACAATCCCTGAAATATATGAGTCACATTTCATAATGAACAAAACAGTCTTACATTCCTTCTGAAAAAATATATGAAAGACAACTCCCTTACTGTTGATTTTTCTCAGATCAACCAAAATGTGCAGAGGAAAGACCAATTTAGAAGCAGACTTTTTTAAAGTCAAAGACTTCTAAAAAGCTGGAAATTTTATTTTTCTGTCTGTTCCTCAGACAACTCGAAGTGAAAAATAATGCGAGGACAAAAAAAAAAACAGACCAAAAAATATAAAACCCTGAATGTTGTCTTTGAGTTGTAGAAAAAGACAAATTAGGGTCACCTATGGCAGAGAACCACCAGATAAACCAGGTGAAATGTACAGATATATAGTTTAGAATATATTTTCACATGCATTTAATCTTATAACTTGATACAGGTAATCCAGTAATGGAAAAGACAGATTAGATCAAAGTGTGATCTGTCATACATTTAAAGTAAAGTAATGTACACTCTCAGGCAAGTCACTGCTTGCCTTAATTCCAGGAATTGCTAAGCAGAATAATGAATTATTTCTAATGTAATCGTGCGATATCAAAGAGATGCAAATCAAAACTTAATGGAATTTCTGTACCAGGTTGAAAAATTTCAAAAGTAGCATAGTACAGTGCTATTTTAGCAGTCCAAGGTACTAAAAAAACCCAACAGGTAAAGGTCTCTAATCTCACATTAAAGAATAACCCACAGGTCTGCAAGGTTTGTTGGTTGTAGCCACAGGCCTGCAATGGCACTCAATCTTAAAAAGCGGATCAATTCTAGCTATAAAACTCTTTTGGAAGTTTAGATTGGCAGTTTTAGCTTTTCTTGTTTCCATTGTAACGCATAGTAGATAGTTAACTAAGTTAGAAGTGTGGTGTTTATATTTCCGACATTGCTTTTTCTGCCATTTACTTCCATTGTTATGGTGAATAAGAATCTTAAGAATACTTCAGGTGGCCACTGGAGGTCACCATTGATTCAAGTTTACAGGAGGGAACTTGTTCAACATAAAAATCTATATACTACTCCTAGATATAATCCATGTATGACTTCTGCAAATTTTTCTATAGCATAATAGTCCAAGAAATGAAATGCCAGCTTACACTACAAAGAACCTTAAAACCACCAAAAATATCCAATTATATGGAGGCTTAGAGATGCAGCCGATATCGTCCAAAAGATGAAGACGAAGCCAAGCCCATGTTTACTTCGTATATGTAAAATAAATGAGTAGTATAGAAAAAGTAGGTCAGATACTCCCATCTACTTCTCATAACACAAGAACAAAGCCATTTATTTCAACTGAGTGCAATATAATGTTACACAGTATATAATTAAATATATGGAGTTCATTGCCCCAAGATAACTGAGGTCAAAATTTTAATCTGGAATTTAAAATAGGATGGATTGTTTTAATGGATTACTAAAGAAGCAGATAGAGTTATATGCACAGGGATATTTTTAAATAGAAATTTATAAAATAAATTTTCCACCACAGTGCTATAAGATCCTTTTACAGGGTGCCACTGGAGTCATGCAATATTAGCACTGTTAGGTGTGCAAACACCTACACATGATTCACAAGACAGATGCAGGAACTTCAGTTAGGATCCATAATGTCAAAGCCATTCCAATCTGTTATGGTCTGAGTTTAAAAACAATTGCTCTCTTTTTTTTTTTTTTTCCTTTCCCTTTTGACTATGGAAAGAGTGAAAACTAAGAGCTGGCATTTTCCAAGAGGCATCTTGAGTCTAATGGAGGTTAAGAACCACTGGCATATCGTGCTTCAAAAAATAAGCCAACCAATTTATGAGTGTTAGGACTAAATCTTCTTTATAGGATACCTGAACATGGCTGTTGACCTGCTATGATCTCTCTCAGGTATCCTGCAATGGCCACTGCAACAGCAGTGACAGGAGACTGGACTAAGTACACTGCTAGTTTGATGAAAATTCATCTGGAAGGCTTAAGTTTCTAAATTTCTCACCACAGGTGTCTAGTGGAGGTGGTGGTGGTGGCGGGGGGGGGGGGGGGG